CACGAATAACGTCAATGTTACGCCAAAAAGTTATCCAAAATAGCAGTAGAAACACTGAACCGCCTTATGCTATGCAGCACGGCAAGACTAACAGGGAGGCAGCATCTGGACGCATGTATTGGCCGAGGAACTGTGACGTAGCAAGGGAAATCCATTGTGAATGGCTGACACGGGGTATGGTCCAGGGGACGCGCGCTATCATTGACTCGCACTCCTCTCACTCTGAACTGGATGTGATCACTTTTATTTACTGAGAGCACAGCCAGATACGTAGCTCCCGGCCTGAGGCGAAATGATACCCTATTTTTAAAAGAATTTCAACCATATTTCTAGTCTACCTCGGGGGTTACATCCAATGCCAAAATGTAGAGGAAGAGTGAAAATAGTGATATTCATTAAAAAAACGCATTTTGCCCGGGGTGGCGCTTTATCCCCTTGTAATGCAAGCGCCTCAATTCAAGTCTCAGTATGTAAATAAACACAAAAATTATATCACTAAGGATATTATAGTCCATGCTAGTGTGAGAGGTTTGAATATTAGACCAGGTTCTTTGCAGACTCTACTCTTAGAGCGTCAGATGGTGACTGGCAACCGGGTGCTACCACAGACAAGCTCACACCTCAACATATCGTACGATGGAACGCCATTTCACAATCTCACATCTCCCCCCCAAGTTAAATGGAAATGACAATGCACATTTGAACTAACAAAAGGAAAACAATGCATTCATAAAAAAAACAATAATGCAAGAAAAAAACAGTCAAACAAAGAAAAAAAAAACTTTAAACTAATTTTACACCACATGCACTACACCTTGTAGTCCGCCAACCAGCCCGGGGGCCTACGGCCTCTCCTGGGCCTGGCCACGCCAGACTGGGGAGGGGCCAGGGGTGCGAGCGAGGGTGCGGGTACGGAAGCCACCGCAGATGGGGGGCCAGGAGGCATAGCTTGATGTACCACCGGGGTGGTAGGCACAGGTGTGGCTCCGCTTTACAGGTGGCGTCTGTTGCTGATGGACACCCTGCCACTGCCAATCAACCTGACGGCATACTGCCTGTGAGGGCGGGCTTCCACCACTATTCCTGTCCTGTCCCAGAGCCTGGTAGCTGCGTCCTGCACACGCACTTGCGTGCCCACGGCTAGGGGAGCCAGCTGGCGAAACACGAAGTGCCCACCGCCAGTGCTGGTCCACCTTATAGTGCTGTCTGGCCACGGGAACGCCATCACGGAGCTGGCGGCCGGTGGCAAGTTGGGCGGGCGACTTGTGCACCCCCCCTGCAGAGGAGTGTTCAGGTACTGGTGGAGGGCCTGGGATGTCCTATCGCAGTCCAGGCTATCCCCGGGTCCAGTGTTATCCCTGAGGAGCCTCTTGGCGGCCTTAACCCCAGCCTCTGCCCTGCCATTGGACTGGGGGAAGTGGGCCGACGAGAGGCGCACCTCAACCCCCCCATGACTTGAGGAAATCTGTCATCTCAAGGCTGGCAAGGTTGGTACCTCCATCCGTGGAGATCTGCTCAGGTGCCCCCCACCTCGTGAAGTAAGCCCGCAGACGGGCGATGATTTTTCCAGAGGTGGCCTCGTTGGGGAAGTGGGCGATCTCCAGCCAACCTGTGAGTCGGTCAGCATATGCTAGGTACGTGTGGCCCTGCAGGTGGAACAAATCGGCCGCCACTTGCTGAAAGGGATAGTCTGGCGCTGGGGTCAAGACCAATGACTCTGGAGGCTGGGAAGGGGCGTGGGTCTCGCAAGCAGCACACCGGGACCGATGATACTGCAGGTCACCCTCCATGCCAGGCCAATAGACAGACTGCCGGGCCCGCCTGAGCATTGAGTCGAGGCCTTGGTGCCCCACGTGCAGGTTAATGGCGACCCTGTGGCGGAGGGAGTCGGGGATGACAAGGCGCACGCAGCCCTGGTCAAAGATGTAGTTGACCAAACCCCTAACCACAGCCAACCTGTCCCTCACCGAGAAGTACGGGCACAGACAGGCCACCTCCTGTGACTTGTGGGGGCGCCAGTCGCCCGCCAGCACCCTCGACACTAGAATCTGGTACACTGGGTCGTCCGCAGCCACTTTGCACACTGTGTCTTCGTCCATAGTGATGCACCCATCCTGATCCAGTGCTACGATTGTTATTGCACACACTGCAGCGCACAGGTCCTCCTCTTGGTCCATGTCCTCCGCGTCGGGCGCCGCCCTGAGGGAGGGGAAGCGGGATAGGGTGTCGGCTGCACAGTTCTGTTTCCCTGGCAAGTACTTGACCGTGAACCGGTACTGCAGGGTCTTCTCCTTGAGCCTGAACAGGCACGGATTCATCACATCTGTGAGGGCTCTGTCCCCTAGCGGGCCAACTAAGGGGCGGTGGTCCGTCACCAGAATGAGGTTCGGGCAGCCAAGGAGGAACAGCCTGGCCTTGCGCAGGCACCATACCACAGACAGGGCCTCCCCTTCTTCTGCAGCGTAGCCGGCCTCGGCTGTGCTCAGATGTCGGCTACTGCACAGAGTCAACCGCCACCCTCCCCTGCAGCAGAAGGGCGTCTATGGAGAGGCATAGGCACAGTATTGTTGCAGGACGACGAAGCCAATGCCCTCCCTGCTCCAATCCGTGACAGCTGCCGTGGACTTGGACTTGTCGTAGTACACCAAGCCGTCCCTGGCCAACTGACAGATGGTGTCCTGGGCCTTGCAAAACTCGAGCCGCAGCTGGTCGTCCCAATACACCCGCTTGCCCACTGGCTTCTTGAGGAGCTCACGGAAGGGCTCCATCACAGCTGCAGTGGCAAGGAAGGGAGCCAACTGGTTAACCAGGCCATGCCAGGACCTGATGCCAGTGATTGATGGCTGATCAGGCATGGGGAAGTCCTTGATGGCTGACAGACGTTGGGCAGTGGGCTGGTAGAGGTCCCACCCCAGGAGGAAACCCACAAACTCGGCTTCTCTCCTGCAGAACAAGAACTTTTCTGGTTTCAATGTGATACCTGTGTGAGTGCAGGTCTCCAGAAAATCGTAGGTGTGTCAGAACGCCCCCTTCACACTGGAGTCATAGAGGAGAGTGTCATCCACTCACTTGTACTTGCGGGGCACATCCTGAATAGTGTCGTCAAACCTCTTGGTGTAGGCATCTGACGCTGAACAATGTTCCATGGGCGTCCTGCAGTATCGAAAACGGCCCCACAGTGTGATCAATGTGGTCAGGCATCCACTCTCCTCCTCCAACTCCACCTGATGAAATCCCCAGAAGGTGTCTGCGATGGTTTTGAACGAGTGCACTGGCACCCCAGACACCATGTCGAATGGTGCAGGTGTGTGGTGCGTCTCCCTCAGACAGCTTGCATTGAGGCGTTGGAAGTCTACAGTGCGCCTGGGCTGACCGTTTTTCTTGGCCACCACAACCATCCTGGTGCACCACTCCGTAGCCTCACCAGCAGGCACTGGCTGGATGACGCCTCTCCTGACGTCCTCCTCCAACTGGGTCTTCACCTCCGCTTTCGGAATGGGAGCAGGTGTGTGACAGGGCGTCAGGTGGATACGGTGAGGGGGACCAGTCATGACTGGCAGTGGGGACCTGCTGATTGAATGCGGTCGATGAAAAGTGCGTGAGCAGCCGTGCCTCCAACCTGGCCACATTCTCCTCCAAAGGAGGCAAGGGTATCTCAACTGGCCTAGGAGGGACACGACTGCTCTCAGGTAAAGGGTTGGGAGGTAGGTTGTCGGCAGTGTGCTGCCCCCCTCCATCGCTCACGGCAGCCACAACACGCCTATGGAGCGGGAAGTCGACAGGCACCAAGTTGAGGCACTTGCAGGTAGAGGGCTTTGACTGACTGCACGAAGTAGTCCTCCTGGACGGTGGACCCCTCGCCCACACTGAGGCGGCAGGGGGCTGACCCCAGACACTTGAGCTGTTTGTTTTCCACGTCCCTCAGGCCATTACGGGCCCGAAGTTGTCCTGGACACAAACCGATGTCCCGGAGCAGGGATGCTCCTGCCACACACACCATAGCACCCGTGTCAGCCACAGCCAGCACAGGGGTGGCGGGGGAATTGCCCCCAGTCTGGGCCATGAACACTTGTAACCTGGGGTGGCAGGATAGCTGGGCTGTTGCCACTGTGACAGCACCTGACACATCCACAGAAGCACTTAGGGCTGACTTACTCATACAACATCTTTTGAAGTGACCAACCTTTGAGCAATTGCGGCATGTGGCCCCACTTGCAGGGCAGTTACTTTTACTGGAGGCATGTGACATGCCGCAGTTCCCACAGTGCGCTCAACTGGGGTGTCCAGGACGGGCGGCAGCTACCTCAGACTCACCGGTGACGTCATCACCAACCGCCGCTGCCTCCGTGACTGTTCCCACCACTGCCTGGCCAGACGTACGACACAATACACCAGCATCTCTCACTGCTGCCTCAAATAACATGCACTTGTTTCTGAGCACTTCAACACTATTATAACTCGAGTACCCCTGGAAAATTTCTCTTTTCAACACTGGGTTACTCAGGCCCACCATGACTTTACATAGTAGCATGTACTCAGAGAGGTTGTTATCACAGGTGGGACATTTAAATTCACACTCCACCGCCTCTGCGAAGTAGCGTTGAAAATTTTTTTTCATGGGCTCCTCTTCACCTTGTTTGCTGTTGAAAAACTCGTTCCATTTCACAGCTTCGTTTGACGATTGAAAAACCACTCCACTGATGGCATCCAGGGCTTCCTTGGGTGAGAGCTGCTCCCACTGACCGCTGGGATATCTTGAGTCAATCACCCTTTGGAGTGCAGGGACGCAGTTCAGGCGAATGTGGAATGTCGCCACCATTTGTGACCATCCGTTCAACAGCACCCACGACTCCATGGACCGCCTCCATGTCCTAAATGCCGCTGCTGGCATTTCTGCCTCACACTTCTCTGGAGCGACAGCTGCTGAGGGCTTCATGACTGGCATAGAAGCATGACCACCGCCATTAGCTAGAGACGCCATCTGAGCCATCAATGCACTCATGGTCTGCTGCTGGGCGCGCCTGGTGTTCCCCGCCGGTGTAGAGATGCCTTGGCATCCACTTGAGGGCATTGAGAATCGTGGACGTGTAGGGGCCATGTTGGCGTTCTCGTCAGGGCTGTAATGGAGTGTCGGACCCCGGCATCCTACTCACTGCGCCATGTGAGAGGTTTGAATAATAGACCAGGTTCTTTGCAGACTTTACTCTTAGAGCGTCAGATGGTGACTGGCAACCAGGCGCTGTCACAGTCAAACTCACACCTCAACACATCGGAAAGCATATCATACGATGGAACTCCATTTCACAATCTCACAGCTAGTAAATCCATTTTCCTTATTACTGTACAGAGCAAAAGAGTAAAAATTAATATACTCTAATGTAACTTAGAAATAAATAAAATATAATGCACTATAATACACTGCTGTAAAATAAAAAAAATGAAGGCCACTCAGTGAGCTGTACTGCATGGATGAGTCACCCGCCTCCCTCCCTCCCATGTGATATTAGGGCATAAACTGGTCTCAGTCAGCTATTTGACTGCCTGGCTGAATTGTGGCATCACTTAGAAGATGATTTAAGTGTGGAAGGAGCTTTTTTTTTTTTACATAAAAGATATTCTATAGTATTTTATGCTATGTTGTGTATCAATTTTATTGTTTATCACAGTAATTTTTTTAGGCAATTACAGTCAACCCTCACTTTACGCGGTCCCACATTCCGCGTTTCCACGTTTACGCGGTGCCCTGCCAGAACCCAGGATGCTCACATTCCGCGGTGGGTGTACCCCTTTACACGGTGAAGTATAATTTTTTTTAATTTAGCTCATAAAATTCATACAAATTATCCGGCCAGAATATAATTTACATTGCTGGAATTCTTACAATTTGATGATCATTTTGAATATAAACATCATAGATTTTGCATTAGACATACAAATTTTAGATATAATGTTTACTCTTGAGTAAATATGTTATCTTTTGTGCAAAATATATGATATTTATATTCAAAATATTCCTGGTCTTACAAGGAATCCAGCAATGTCAATTATATTATCCTAACTTTAGTCTGATTTATTATTTATTACTAAAAAGGTAAACAGTCTGGTATTCCCACACATTTATCTAGTAGGGACGTTGGTGGGGGGGAGGGAGGGAGGGACCGGCGACCGACCATCTGTTACCGTGTGAAGAATTTTTTTTTTATTAACTGAAGATTTTTATTTTAGCTCATAAAATTCATACAAATTACCCGGCCAGAATATAATTTACATTGCTGGAATTCTTACAATTTGGTGATCATTTTGAATATAAACATCATATATTTTGCATTAGACAAAATTTTTAGATAAAATGTTTAATCTGAGTAAGTATGTTATCTTTTGTGCAAAATTTATGACGTTTATATTCAAAATATTCCTGGTCTTACAAGGAATCCAGCAATGTCAATTATATTATCCTAACTTTAATCTGAGGTATTATTTAATACAAAATGTTAAAATCTAAATTTTTCACCCAACATCTCTTGAAGGGAGGATTGGTGGGGGGTGAGGGGGAGGGTTGGGACTGACCACGCGGTTGGAAGAGGGGGGGAGGCAAGGTGGGGTACTTTGATTGACAGATAGTGTCGTGAAGATTATTTTTTTTTTTTTATTAACTGAAGATATTTGTTTTAGCTCATAAAATTCATACAAATTACCCGGCCAGAATATAATTTACATTGCTGGAATTCTTACAATTTGGTGATCATTTTGAATATAAACATCATATATTTTGCATTAGACATAAAATTTTTAGATAAAATGTTTAATCTGAGTAAGTATGTTATCTTTTGTGAAAAATATATGACATTTATATTCAAAATATTCCTGGTCTTACAAGGAATCCAGCAATGTCAATTATATTATCCTAACTTTAGTTTGAGGTATTATTTATTACTATACTTGGTTTTCCCCCAAAAATTTCTCAGAGAGGGAAGAGCCGGCAGTGTAGTGTGAGAGGGGGAGGGAGTCATGTCCATTATTTGAATGGACATTAACTTGGCGGCTGTATTTCTCTAAAGTATTAATTGTGTGCATGTACCATCATAAAATTAAGATGTTATTTTTACTACAACATAGTTATGTGTCGTCAAAAAGTGGAGTTTGGGGATCGGCCTGGACTCCATTTCAATTAATCCCATATGTTATGTTATTCACTTTACGCGTTTCTCGCTTTCCGCGGTACCCTCCGGGTTACATTAACCGCGTAAAGTGAGGGTTAACTGTATAGCACTATAGGTGTCAGACAGCGAGTAAATGACTTCAGTTGCTTTCTGATTTTTTTTCTAAGTTTGAATTTTTACCAAAGGGGGCGAAGTTGGGATACCTGAAAGAGTCAGATAGTTGATTTTCAGATTAAATGAATTGCACTGTAAATTAAATAAAATCTATGATATTTGATTTACCGTAATAGTTGAGATGTTCTGCATTCAGTTGTTGGGTGTTACTGGGTTAGTACTGCAGGAAACAAATTTTACCAGGGAGTGCTGATTAGTAATTCTGGTGCCCTAGATACTCTTTGGTGCAATGTATAGTCCAGTAAATCCTCAAAGATCCGGACCTGGGAAATCCGGATTTCAGAAGATCCGGACAAAAAATTTGGGGGTTCTGGGCTAAGAAGCCTCCGAGAAGTTTCCCTAAGAAGCATTCCCAAACCAGAGCAAAGAACATTTTAGGCCCGTGGGCGCTGCTTGACCTGTCAGCTGCTTGGACACAGGTGCCCGAGGAGGTGGGAAACATAAACAGAGTTGACAATTGTTGTTTGTGGGAATATTATTTCATTCACTGTAGTAATGATACAATGTTTCTTATTATGTTATTATAGGTTTATATACGGTAATTTGTTTATCACTGCATTAGTGCTGTATTTTTAGGTGTTTCTTATATCATTTATTATTCGCCTTGAAAATCTTGGCAACCGTCTTTTCCGGACAGGTGGTTCCCCCTTTTAGTCCCGATCTTCGAGGGCTCACTGTACTTTATTCCCAAAATATTGTGGTACTACAGCACCCTCCCTTCGATGTCCATGTACCCGCATGAGACTTCCTAGAAGCTGTGTGGGAGTCAGAGTGACATTTCCACTCCACCTACAAGAGTCGCCTTGACCTCGAAGGGGACATGTGATGATAACCAGACTTATTCTTCATGATGTGGTGACTATTGTTTAATTGTTTTCTTATTTATTTTATAAATGTAGGAATTTTTTTGTGGGTAATACATTTGTATTTGGGGACTGGCTGGGAACATATCCCATTGAACCCCATGTTATAATGCTTCCTGTCTACGATATTTCACTTAGCGATGGTTTTTTCAGGAACCTAACCCCAGCGTTTATCGAGGTTTACCTGTACTCATGCTGAACTGTAACTGCATTGTTTATATACATACCTATCCAATTTTAAACCTGCATAAAAAATGCACAAAATAAATATTGTTATTATTATTATGAGTCGAATGGGAGGCTGACTGTGATAATGAAGAAGAAATGAAGGGCATATGAGCATTACATGCATGAAAACAGTGGTGAAAGTAGGGAGGGATACATGTAAAGGGAAAAGAGAATGGTGATAGAATGCAAAAGATGAGCATATGAAATTGTAATGAGGGGATTCTTTGTAGAAAGTATAGATATAGGTATCTAGTTGTGAGGAAGTTTGGTAGCGTGGCCAGCTAGTTATTTAACTGTAAATACGTTCTTAGGGGACATCTTTCTAAACCCCAATTCTAAGTAAAGCTATTTATTATTCACTCCATGACACAGACACATTAATAGAATATTATATTGAAGTTACTAGAACATTATATTTACGTTACTAGACATTGACTCTCGGACACAAACCTAAAATGGATACACTTCCCACCGTAAGTAACTCACCGTATGGATAGCTCTGACAATGACTCACATGTGACCTGGGGGAGGCCCAGCAGGTGCTGCTGGACTATATCTCCTATGGGAGACTCTGCTAGCTGGAAATGCGGTGCTGGGGAGGGAAGTCTTTCTTCCGACCTCGATTAGTGACAAGCGTCTTCTGTCTTCAGTGTTGTGAAAGTAATCGCCATAGAATGAGCTGCAGGGCCTTTATATTGCAGGAGAGCCAGCAGATGACCTCTTCTAATTAACATTAAACTGGTTAGATATGGACGGCTGTGTTTGTCCAGGTGTGTGGTCATGTCGCCGGTCGGTAATGCTTCCTAATTATTACCACCTGGGTTTGTCTTGGCTGGGTGTGGTTTCTTTAACACGCTCATGTCGTCGGGTTAAGCTAATCAAATGGCGGTGAGGACTCAGGGTCAATGTGACTGACCTCTCCTGGGTCAGGTCTGGATAGCTGTTTGCCCAGGTGTGGTTGTAACACGGTCATATCGCAGGGTTAACTCAAGTACTGTGTTTGTGACCTCTCCTGGGTCAGGTCTTACTGTCACTGTAGGGCGTGTCAACCTATGTGAGTTACCACGTGGGCATCTACTTACTGTTATATATGTTGTTCTTCTCTTGGCTGTAAGCTTTGGTCTGATAAACAATCATAACAAAATGATATTCGAAAGGTACAGCACAACATACTGGTCATGGACATGGACTTGGAGTAAAATACTGTAGTTGTAAATTTGGTAAATCATTGTGCTAAAGACACTAAGACTAACTTCACCCATTTTTGTTCAATCCAGAATGCGACGTCTAGCTTTAACCTAGGTATGTAAATGCCTTGCATTAACTCACCAGGCCAGCATAAAGGCAATTAAAACATCTAATAATTACTTAAATACGCAATATTAGGAGGACACGTCGCTACTTGGCATTTACCGGTAATTGCAATTCTCAAAACCCCCTTCCTCACCCTCCATCACACGCATTGCTACCTTCATCTTCTTACCTGGCGAATCAGCTGTAAACACACACACAAGGAAAGCTCCACTAATTTGTGTTGTAATAGCTGAAATAGTAAGTGCCACGAGGATTTTATTTTTTTAATTTATACATCTTAGCACGGTGAGGAAATCGAGTGACTTTTATTTTGTTTATGTCTCTCAGATATTATGTTTGGGGCAACTTTTTATACAGTCTGGTCAAGAATGGCGACCGTG